CAGCAGGCAACACATTTTGACTAGTACATGCAGTAGAAGACAAACTACTATGACTGGAGGAATCATATGCATTTCCAATTTGATCATATTTATATGAGTTCATACCTTCAAATAAATTTAAAATTTCAGCGTCGTCATCTCCTAAATTAGTGGGAGGAGTGCTTGTAGAGCCGAAGGGTACACGAGTAACTTGTGTACCCATTCGTGAAGCATATATTACATATATTTCAGATAAAGTTGCTTCCAAATTCCTATAGGTAATATGTATGTTAAAAGTTAAAGATTCTGACATTCGCTCAATCATAAATTTAGTACCAGATAAATTATATTGGGGGTCCATGATGCGTGCTAACGGAAATAACATGGGCAAGTCTTCCCAATATTTTTTTAAACTTTAATTCCATGGCATTTATAGCCGAACTAAAATCGGGATCATTTTTAAATCTATCAAAAGTCCTAACAACTAGATAAAGACGTTGAAGGACCATACAACTAGTAGGATAATAAACACCAGACAAAATATTTATAGCATCATAAAAACTTTTCAAAAAATGTTTAATTTTAGTAACTAAAATCCAATCGGACTCAATCAAAACAGTTTCCTCGTCGTCTCTAAAATGCTTACCGTTATAAAATTCAGTAATTAAATATTCGAAACCTTCACATGATTTTAATAATAAATTTGTGGAGTTCCATCTATGCGCTACGTCACTGATAAAAGTTTTTGAATGCGACACCCCATGTTCGGCACAAAAGTCCTCAAATGCTTGTTTTCTACTAGGTGAAATAGTAATATAAATTAGTGCATCCCTAATTCGTTGAATTTCATCCTTAGCATGTTTTAAACCATCTTGTACTATTAAATTTAAAATATGACATACACATCGAATATGAAATAAAAAACCACCAAATTCAGGTTGAAGTACTCTTTACAATTTCTCGATAACAGGCTTATTTACATTAGCGTTGTCGAACGTAAAAGAACGAATTTTACTCTCGCATTTATATTCTCTAATAACGTTCATAATAGCACTAAATATATTGGGAGCATTGTGCGGGTACTCAATAATTTTAGAAGCAATTATTTTTTTATCCATGATCCAAAGTGGGTCTATATAGTGTGCAGTTGTAGCCATATAACCTCTTTTATTAATCCCTTCCCATAAATCTGAAGTTAAAGATATTACACCCCATATTATTCTAAATCGGCAATCAATGTTTTCTTTGCATTTAAAAAATATTCTATTGTATCAAAACGAAGAGTATTTCGACTTACCCAAGCGTACCTCAGTTGAAGACATTCTTTGACAAATGTAACGAAATGTTGATTGTCCGTTTGTGCTAGTGGCAACTCAGATCCGGCAATGTACTTCACCATTCCTGTTGGAGTTCTTTCCTCCGAATACATCCACGTATTAAGTGGCGTAGTAGTAGTAGTAGCACCGCTGCCTGAAGTACCAAATTGTAGTTGCATTTGACCAGCAGGAAGAAGACCATGTTTGGCCGTACATGCTTTGTAGTGACGGTTGAGGTGGGTGGTTTCAATGCCTTTTTGATGAGTCAATCGTTGTTGACAGTATTTACATACTGCTTTGGTTTCTGGAATTCAATCGACCATACGACCAGTTTGAACCAATTTAAAATGATCCCAACATTTTGCATGCTTCTTTACCTTTATCTTCCCTCTTGCATTGGGAATTTCAATAACAAGTTCATCATCATGTTCCAAATCAATTGGAGCCTCAGCATCAACGTCATTCAAATTAATTTGATGTCTACTTTCATGAACATTGTAATCTTCAATAGTTTCTGGAATGGGTACTTCATTTAGACCGGCGAACTCATTCCCATATTGATTATGTGACACATTTGCTTCATTTCCGACTCCGACATCGAACAAGTTTTCAATAAATGAGCGTGAATCCATTTGTGATTAATTGAAATTGAATGTTGAAGAAAAAGAAGTGAAGTAGAATTGAGAAATGAATGAAGATTATGTAGTAGTGTAGAAACTATATTGTAAAATCAAGATTATAATTTAATGATATGATTATATGAATATAAAATGTAGAAGAGTATAGAAATGAGAATGAATGAATGAATAATATTGATAATAATTGAGTTGTAGAGAGTATAGTAGAGAATAAGAGATTGATAGTAAGTTTGGTAAGAAAAAATGCTGTAATTGATGGGTATTTATAGGAAGAAAATGAAATTTGAAAAAATAAATTAAAAAAAATATCAGGGACCAAAACGGTCACTGACAAAGTTCAGTGACCGTTCGGTCACTTTTGACCGAACGGTCACTGAACTTTGTCGGTGACCGTTTTTTTTAGGCGAGCCGAGCCCACGAGCCCGCGAACTACTCGGGCCCATTGCCACCACTAGTACGAGCCGGAGCGGCTCGTGGCTCGTTTTAGGAAAGTCGAGCCCATGAGCCCGCGAACTACTCGGGCCCATTGCCACCACTAGGGACGGGAATGTCCCGCCCCTTCCTAACCCGCCAACCCATTCGGTGCAGGTTTTTTTTCCCCATTCGGGATGGGGCCCTGTCGAGTTGAGGTGAGGCGAGTTTTTTTTTTTTTTTTTGTCATTAATAACTATTCCTATTAAAAAAGTATGCGCAAGCAGAAAAATTACTAGTTTAATTAATTGTATACAATTTTACTAATCTACAACAACTTAAAGAAATTAAACAATCAAAATTTCCTTCACCAAGATTTATCTACCTTCAACTGCAGCCCCAACTAACCCCCAAAATTCAGATTCTATTCATTTTTCATCTCAAAATTTCCCTAAACCCTTTCCCTTGCCCTTGCCCTTGCTCTGCACAAAACAAAACAATGCCACAAAAGACAGATACCAATATTATTTGTTAATACACGTTATATGTAGTTGTGATTACTGAAATGGCGATAATAGGAGATGCACTACGCCAGGCCTTCATGCCGAAACACGAGTACGACTGTCTCCGAGATGAGGACAAGGCATTGCACAAGCTCCAAAAGCCTTTTATACTATTAACACTAACCCTAATTTCTGTTGCAATTTTGCTTTCCACTATAATTAGCTTGAAAATAGTGTTTCCTAATGATAAATTGAGGCGGCCTTTCTGTGGGGACTCGCGGATTCAGCCGCTGGCTGTTAATTTTACGGAGGTTGGTGGTGGCGGTAGTGGAAGGGATTCGGATCCTTTGCCAGGGGCGTTTGTTTTGACGGATCAGGAGACTGCTGAATATTACTGGATGGTTATGTTCATTCCTTCGGCTATGGTTTTCTTCGCATCTGTGGTCTACCTAATTGCAGGTTAGCAAAATGTGAAAATGATCTCATTGAATATAGAGGGTGTGTGTGTTCGTATATGTGCGCACACAAATTTTATTTATTGTACAAGTCTCTTATTAAAATTATTTGAAGATATTTTATTTACTACCTTAAATGATTATATCTTGCTGCCACTAGGTAGAGAGCACTGCGGTTCATGAGTAGTCATTTGCTATCATAATTGTTGATTTCTGACTTCACAGGTTCTTTTAAATGCTCTAAGCACAAAGCTACAAGTGACAAGTAATTTGAAATTACTCTTATGCTGAAAGCAACAATTCGCTCATCGTCATGTGTTCAAGTATAGAATATAGATAGCGTCATATATATACAATCATCTAAACCAATATTGTTACTAGAGTAGCAACATCCTTCATTTTTCAACAATTAACCTTAAATACCTGACATTCAACATAAGCAAATAAGTTGACTGACCAAATTAACATAATAAGAATCTTTTTGTACTTCGTCAAATTTTTTAATTCATAATAGAAGTAAATCAGCAAATACTCACCTAGATTTGACTCGGCACTTAATGACAAAATACAAAACGATCGAGTTTTGACACATCCCAAACTTTTGGACAGCATTGCCCTCAATGTTAAAGCAAAATATGAAGGTTTGTAGTTTGTCTAATGTAGGATTTAGATATATTTAACTAAGAGAGGATCAATATTGATTCAAGCAAGGATTCTCCAACACAACATAGAAATACATGGATAAATGGAATTATGGACACGAGAAATGATTCTGCATAAATTGGGTAGCTCTTGAAATTTAAATGGTTTCATGGAGGAGCACATGAGATTTTTTAAATTTAATGTAACAGTCTGTTGTAGATGAATTGCTATTTTTTAGGAGTAGAGACATAAAAAAAACTCTACATGGAAAGTAACGGCGCGTAACCTGGCTAGCATTTTTTGCTCCTCCTTTTGTCATTTTTCAAAAATGCAGTATGGTTATCTAGAAGTTGTTGTCTGTCACTTACTAACTTGCAAGTTAATCATAAGTTATGCAAATCTTGATCCTTTCATCATTTCAATTTTGGAGTTCTGGATCACATCATGCAAGTACAACAACGTAATTTATGCATTTGCAACAACATGAGGTAACAACATAACAACTTAAAACATGTTTTTGGGAGTTGTTTATCGTCGGCTTGAATTATAAATAGATATAAATGAGTGGGGTTAAGTGGGTTCCATAAAATATATGTATAAAAAATGATTTGATTATAAATAGATGCCAAACTAGGGCTTAACATGATTTCTGAATTGAAAATGGACATGGAATCAGCTTTAGGTTCATTTTGCCATCTTTTGGGTGGTAGTTGAGCTAACATTGATACACAATGGAAGTGTGCTGAAGGAAGGCCAAGATCTCATAAATTAGATACTTCCCAGGTTTACCATGCTTGGTGTTATTGTAAAATTGACCACACTATCACACTGTTTATTAGAAATATGTCAAATTACTCTTCAAAAAAAAAATAAAAAAAAA